CCCTGCCTCGGCTGCCACCCCTTCCACAACATCCTCCCCCGCAACCACCCCAGTGACCCCACCCTCCACACAATCCCCCCCTGTCTCTCGACGCCTCGTGTCCTCCAACGCCCGTGCGAATGCCTGAGCACGCGGGTTAGTCGATGCCATAAGTCAAGCCCTCTCTCGCTCTAGGATGTCGCGTGCCGCATCCGAAGACCCAGTCGTCGTCGCTCTCTGGGGCTGCGTGAGACTCTCTCCAGCTGCGTCGTCCCTCGATGGAGCGCGATCCGTCGATGTCGCCCCGCCGCAACTAGGTGGAGGGCCCATCGACAGATCTAAGTCCAGGTGGCTCCCCATCTGCGAATCCGACATCCCCAACCCCCTCGCCACACCTGGGGTCATACCCGCCATGACCGGATCGTACTGCTCCGTGAGGAACTGCTGCATGAGGCGCTCGTCGCCGCCCTCACGCGACACCTCCGCCTGTGCCCCTATCTCCTCCTCCACTGCTCCTGGCATTCCCCCCTCCACTGCATCCGCTCCTCCAGCTGCTCCTGCTACTGCAGCCACAAGCCCATCCAGTGCAGCTGCTCCTCCAGCTACTCCTCCAGCTGCTCCTCCCGCTGCTCCTCCCGCTACTCCTCCAGCTACTCCCGCCTGCCCCTCCACTGCATCTGCTCCCCCTGGCGCTGGTGCCTCCTCCGCCAACACTAAAGCTGCTATCTCCTCTAGCAATGAAGCCGCTGCTGCTATAGCTGTCTGGTCCACCACACCTGCAATCGTCGTGTCCGCCAATCCCCCCTCCACTGCCATCTCCCCCTCCACTGCTGCAGCCGACGGTCCCCCCTCCTCCTGCAAGACCCCCGGAGAAGGTGATCGTAACCTCAGTTGTCGGACTGCCCTGCCTCTGTGGAGTAGTCCGCGCTGAGGTAAAGAGGACGCCAACTCCTCCGTGTCCTCTGCTACTGTGGTCGGCTCATATGGCACGACGGGCGATGGCGGTGCAGGACTCGGAGCAGAAGGTGGCGGCATGGACGACTCCTGCCTCGTCGGAGTGGGGCTCGTCGCCCGCGCTCCTGTGTCGCCCATCGAAGCGACCTCCCTAAACGGTCCCCACAACTCCTCCTCTCCCCCCATCATCTCCCTCTCCGCCTTGCCAGCATCCCGTCGTGCAGTATGCGCCCTGGTGTCCTCTTCGGGATCCAGGTGCGTCTCGTCGATCTCACGGGGAATGCGAAGAGCGGGGTCGTCCGCTGCCTCGGGTACCGGCTCCTCGTCGGAATTATCCTCCCTGGGGTAAGTACGAAAAATGGAAGCACGTCTACCGAATACGGCCTCAACGGCGGGTGGTGCAGAGACCCCGATGGGATCCCGGGTGATAAGCGCAACCTGACGGGCAATCTCCTCCGGCGTCATCCCCCTGCGCGTGCCCGTGCGCACTGGCTCCAACTCCAATCTGGCCTGGCAGTCTAGCATGCCCTCGTCCCGCTGCCATGGCAGCACATAACCGCACCCAGCCCGCCGATACTCCAACAACCGCACATTCGCGGTGATCTCAACGAGCTGAACGACCTTCTCAAAGGCCAACTGGTTGCGCTTCTTCGTGTGAATGCCTTCGTGGACTGCCCAGTTTCTCTCCGCTGGAGAGGCGCAAGACCACATGTGCATCACACGAAGAGCGCAACGCTGCAACTCAGGCACGCCAGACCCATACTGAGACCACCAGGACGCGCACTCAATCGTCTCTCTGTCGCCGCTGCAAGCACGCCCACGAGCACGCCCCTCCCCCCCTCCCCAATCCCCAAATGTGCCCTGCTGCATGTGGAAGTCCTCAAACTGCCGACGTGCAATGATGTACTCCACACCATCCTCCTCGTAACCTGTCTGCGTCAAAATGTACCTCTTGGCTTGCCTTACAAGCCAACGAGGGTAATCCCTCACCTCGCCCGAAAAATACTCAACATGTCACCTGCGGGGGTTCAGTAAGAACCCCACGCAGTGAGCAGACTCCAGCATGTGCTGTGTGCGAGCCTGCACACGCCTGATGATGCGGTCAGCGAAAACCCTCCCCAAAGGAGCGCATGCATCAGTGACACGGCGGACAAGATCCTGTGTCCACTCGATCATGAGGGACATGTACTGCCCCCCGCGATCCATCCGCCTAAGCAGCTCCATGACGGGCTGCATGATGTGGACTATGGTGGCCATCGTGTGCCACCAAGGCTCCCATCTGATCTGCCGGCGCACCCAATGCGCCATGTCGCACACATCGGCGGACCACGGTATAGAAGCAAACTCCCGCCCGTTATCCCCTCGCATCATCGCCTGCAGAGCGTCCTGCAGGGCCAACAGTCTCTCCAACATAGAATAAACAGACGCGAACCGCGTCTCGCAAGAAAGCACAAGCCCCTTGTTGGGGCTGCGCTTCCTAAAGAAATAAAGGGCGGCCTGGTCGGTTTTGAAAAACACCACCAGAACACGAGCGCGTGTAATTGCGTCCACAAACGCGTCGCAACTCGTCCCCATGTCTGACAACAATATTTGTTGCAGACATGGACAAAACACGGAAGCCAAGTGATCCTCCTGATTGCAGGAGGGATGCCCGGCGAGGCCAATGCCCTTGCAGCCCCCACGTACGCCGATGCGGAGTTTGTGCATATCGCATTGACCCGCTGCGGGCCGCCGAAACTAAACTCGTGGAAGATGGTCACCCATCTCCGAAGGACGTGCACTGCATCGTCCGGCTCGCCCTCGCGATTGATCGTCGTGTAGACGACGACCCCTCGCGAGCCGGCGGTAAGGAAATTCATGATCGGTCTCCCGTCTCGTGATTTCCTCCCGTCGGAGAGGAGGGTGGCACCAGTGATCCAGAATGGCTGCCTCACCTCCTCCAACTCCTCCGCCAGCTCCTCACGGTGGGTCTCCACCGCCTGCATACTCGCAATCTCGCTGTGGCTGGGGAGCACAGTGTGCGGGGAACTGCCAGGCTTCTCAAAAAGGACCTGCTGATATGCCTTCCAAGCCTGGTTTCGGAAGGCATTGAAGGGGACCCCGCTGGAATAGAGCCAGCGAAGGAATGTCTTCTTGTGGCGAGCAACCCACTCGCCACTGTAGACGTCAGTGACCTTCTGCTGGCGAAACCTCTTCCCACCTGGGGCGGCGGCCGGATCTGTTCCACCTTCCTTCCTCTTGGAAGAACTCTCCCCTACAGGTCCCTTGGCTGCTCGCCTCAAAAAATCCTCCATCCTCTCCCCAGTGCCTGGATAAACCTCAGGCACGTCCTCGTGTCCCGGGACTCCCTGCTCGCCCGGGACATGCGCCTCGCGATCGACGTCGATCGCGCCCTCCTCCGTGTCTCCACCTCCACCATCTCCCCCGACCCCTCCTAACGCTCCCTCCACGGGCTGCCGCCCCGCCTCTCCTCCCCTCACACCACCCATGCCAGGCACATCGACTCCGCGCTCCGCCGCGTACGTGGCAACCCTCTCCATTTGATCGCTCTCGAACTTCTGTTGACTCCGTCGCGCGATCTTTTACAAAGCCTCGTTGCTGACGTCCTTGCAGTAGTTCGTCTGCGTGAAATGCCTCATCGCCTGGAATTGGCTCCCCTGAAATACTTTGTTGCAAAAAGTGCAACGCAGCATCATGACCCCCTTGTTGTCGACCTTCTGGCCGACAACCAGGTAACGGTACACAGGGGAGCGGCCCGTGAATGTGTCCTGCACATGGTCAGGGGCAGGCTCAAGCTGACGCCGCTGTGACCTCCCCATGACGGCTGCCCTCGTCGCCTCGCGAGTCAACAATCGCAACCCCTTCCTCCCCCCCAAACGCATGGCCTCACGCA